CAATGCAAACACGTGCATATGAAGAAAACTTCGATGCGAAGATCACGTGATCGACTGCACGTGCAAAACCTGATTTGGCACTAACGTCATTTGCACGATGAATGGATGGGTTTGAGTGGGTTTTGCTAACGTTTTTTCTAGAGTCGAAAGATAGGGATCCCATTTCGGATACATAGATGTATCATCAGAGAAAAAATATTCATTATTTTTCAAATTACATTTTGTGAAGTTTTTTGTTGTTTGACTCAGTATATATCTTGAAAACAGGTTTTTATGTAGATGGCTTGAAACTGTTTTTTATAATGGTAGCTACGCCCCTGTTTGCATGTGTTGTTGACGCGGCATGGACGCTTTGTAACATCACTATTTGATTATGATTCACAAACACATGCCCATGATATGGTCGGAATCGTGCCAAGGATTAGCAGATATATACTGAGTCAAAAAGAAACTTCACATTCTTTCTTCAGGGGCACTATAAAGAACAAGAGATGGTAAGATGGTTAAATTATTTATTATTTCATTGCTGAGATCTGTGTGATGTACTCGATACACTGACAGTGCCATAATCAGTTCCATTAGGCTACACCGCCGTTCCAAAACATGGGTATACAGAATGTCAGAGTCACAAGAATAAAAATGCGAAATTTCTCAGTTCAATATCGTGTATGGCCGCCCCGTGCATTCACCACTGCCAAACACCGTCTCCTCATCGACTGCCTGATGCTTGTGAACGCACGTGGTTGGGGATTCTGCGCCATTGCTCTTGCAAAGGCAGCGCCAAGTTCCTGCAAATTCTGCGGTTGGTTCCTAAGACCACGAAGCCTTCTCCCAAGTGCATCCCAAACGTGCTCCTATTGGATTAAGGTCAGGGGACCTCGATGGCCAGTCCATGACGTTGATTCCAGCGTTTTGAAGGAAATTTCGTGTCAACATCGCGGTATGCGGCCGAGCATTATCATGCTGGAACTGTAGACCTGGGCCATGAGCCGCCATGAAAAGGAACGAGTTCAGGGGTGAGCACCTGGTCGCGGTAAGCAGCGGCTGTGAGGTTTCCACGGATGACCAGAAGTCGGGAACGGTTGTTCCACAGAAAGCACCCACACCATGCAACTTCCGCCCCCGAGATCTGTCGACTTCCTGTACACAACATTGGGCATACCGTTCACGACGTCGTCTCCAGACTCTATGCCTGCCGTCCGCGAATCTGAGGGTAAACCTGGATTCATCGCTAAAGAGACGACTCGATTCCAGTCTCTCTGGGTCCATCGGAGGTGACGTTGGGCCCACAGCAGACGTTGACGTTGATGAAACGCAGCGTCAATATTGGCCCACGATACCGGACGTCGAAGAATGGAGATTGGCAGCCCGCAACCGATTTCCAGATGGTCTGCAAAGGACAGTCGACCTCTAAAGCATCTCAGCCCTGGTTCGTGTAGCCGGCAGAAATCTGTCACGTAGGTGACGTAGGACGATTGACGGTCTTCTGCTCGTGACGTCACACGTGGACGATGACCGACCTTGGGCGATCAAATTAGTGCCAGTTTGTTGTAGACGACCTCGCAAGTCATACACAGTACGGCGGCTGCATCCCATTGCTCTTGCGACGTCAATAACTGATCTTCCCGCTTGCAACATGCCAACGGCACGTTCACGTTGCACATTTGACAATCGTGGCATTTCAAGTACCGTTAGAACTGTGGTTTAAAAGTGTTTTTTCAATTCTTGAGGCCAAGGCAAACACGTGCATATGAAGAAAACTTCGATGCGAAGATCACGTGATCGACTGCACGTGCAAAACCTGATTTGGCACTAACGTCATTTGCACGACGAATGGATGGGTTTAGTGGGTTTTGCTAACGTTTTTTTCTAGAGTCGAAAGATAGGGATCCCATTTCGGATACATAGATGTATCATCAGAGGAAAAATTATTCATTATTTTCAAATTACATTTTGTGAAGTTTCTTTTTGACTCAGTATATATCGCCCGAAACAGGTTTTATGCTTAGTGGCTTGAAACTATTTTTTTATAATGGTAGCTACCCCTGTTTGCATGTGTTGTTGACGCGGCATGGACAGCTTTGTAACATCACTATTTGATTATGATTCACAGAAACACATGCCCATGATATGGGTCGGAGTCGTCCAAAAAGGATTAGCAGATATTCATCCACGAGAAACAGGTTTTACGCTTGGTAGCTTGATCCTCGCTTTTACAAAAGGCCTATAGGTTCGATCACAATACATTTCGTTTTACAGCTTCTCTTTTTTCTTAACAATACTCACTTCAAAACTGATTTATATTCTAATCGCAGATTAAAGAATAACACAATAAATAGTATGCCAAATTATCGTTACCATGACAACCCTGTGATGTTTCACCTTATGTAAAGAGAGTAATGCAGATTGATACTGTCGGTACGGCATAACTTTTGATAAGTTTTGCTGAAATCGCTATCAATAAACTTACTGGGAATCTATACAAGTATATGTGTGATCAAAGAGCCATATGATAGATTATATGGTCTCTCGTGTGATGGAGAGAACTTGCGTTGCTGGTTTTCTCGATAATCTGAAGACACATGTATGTAAGCGTAGAAATCAGCAGATTCCTTTAGAAGAAGTGTTTGCCCTACCTGTAACGGCGATGTCCGTGTGTCTATAAAAGGGATACTAATGTGGGGATGAATGACAGCGTACTTTATCTTGGCCAGTTTATGGGTGAGTGAGTGAGTGAGTGAGTGGTGGGCAATTGATTAGGTTAAATGTTAGACATCACATCGGCAATATCTCAGCCATATCGTGACGAAAAACAATGTATACAATAAAAGTGAAAATATTTTGAAGATTAAAATTTGAAGACTAAAACCATCGACGATGGACGGTAAAATACTAGATAATCACTGATATAATATAAAGAAACTAGCGAACAAAGGCTAAAACATTTCAATTAAAGAAGACATATATTTTTCTACAAAGTGTAGACAATTAGTTTTTGAACTAGAAGAAAATTTAAAGGCCGTTTTCAAGACACCATTTATTTATTTAAACACAACTGCAATTGCCGTTCAATGAGTATGCATATTTTTTACCGCGACAAGAAATATTAAAATCAATCCACAAAAAGTGATCCACCAAATTGAATCATTTAAAATCTTGGATAAACTGTTGATCTGTGATATTAAATAAATTGACAGACAAAATACCGCCTTGTAGGGACACCTTGATCCTGATTGTAATGATCAGACAGGGTTGAGCCCCCATCGGACTTCAAAATTGCCTGTCCTTTAAAACTGTGATATAAAAAGGAGGCAAACGGCTCCTCAAGCCAAAATCATGTACATCCTTCAAAATGCCATGTTTCCAGGTCGTATCATAAGCTTCTCAAGATCAAAGAAAATTGATACAGCATGTTGTTTATTTACTATAGCATTCTTAACAAAGGATTCTAAGCGTGCCAAATGATCAATGGTACTACAATTTTTTCCTCAAACCACATCATCAGTGAATATTTGTTATAAGGTTATTGGTTTCAAGATACCAAGTTAATCTATTATTCACCATACGTTCCATGGTTTTACAGACACAACTAGTTAGAGATATTTGGTCTGTAATTTGACGGATCTGTATGATCCTTACCAGGTTTTTGGTACTGGGACTAAAATGGCATTACACACGAAGGAGGAAAATGTCCGGACGTCCATATTTTGTCAAATATATCTAAAAGTGTGACCAGACATGGTGGCCCGTTTATGATGATACATACTGCGATCTTTCCCAATAATCCCTCTCGGCTATCAGATTGTGGGTACGTTTTAAACATAACCGGTATTTCTATTATTGTATTTATAAAGTTCTTCGAACGTTCTCCATATACGTCCGTCAGATACATCGCGCACTACCTTTTTCCTCTTTTGATCTTCTCAAACGACTGTTACAAGTTCGAAGAATCCTGGTCAAAGTAGAAAAGTCTTAAGACTATTCCTACAATTCTGTAACTTACACATTGTACCCTAAATGGGTGGAAGCTTACGTTCGGGGAATATCAGAAGGACAACGATACAGTTATTTCCAATGTTGTAGAAAGCACTCCACTTTCTTAGGGAAAACACCGAGATATTGTATTCACGTCGGAATGATATTTTTCAGCCCCTGTCAGATCTGAACTTGAACATGTTAGGTCTGCGTCTGTGTCAGACTAAAGGCCTACAAGATGTTTAGCAACACTGGGGCGTAATAGCCATAGATCTTCTCCAAACAAGGGAATATATATCTTGTGAGAATGACTTCTCCGACAGGAAATTTACAGCAATGCGACATCACAATTACGTGATATTGACTCGCAATCTGAGTTCTGGATCGTCAATTTGAACAGGACAATATAGACGAATTTCACAAAAGGCACGGAGATCCAACATGCCTATGATATAATCCGGAGAACGCACCCGCCTGTGCTATCCGGTCATAATAGCTACACGATAAAACAATTTTTCATTTCATGTCTCACAGATTATATAATTTGATATGGTATTGTTTGGTATCGTATACTTTTTGCTTTAGTGAAACAAATGTGGACAACTTTAAAGTTTATTTATAGCGTTATTACAGCAAGGCTGAGCGCATGGAGAAATAACATTGTTCAGTAATGTGAGACTTTTTAGGGAAGGTCACATGCAGTGCAATAATATTCAATTATGTACTGCCAAAGAACGTTACAGAAATGATGCGCGAACTGAACAGACTTAAGAAATTACGAGTCGGTACATGTGGTGTATTCGGCTTTGCTCAAAGAGAGACAAAGTGCTATTCTACTGGGACAGCTTAGGACACTTGCGAGGACAAAGGGGCAACGCATCGCCCTTTGTTCACCACTGAACTGCTTTAATCCCTCGAAACATGCACCACAGACAAGGCGTAACTGATACTGGTAACGGATATCTCATATGAAAACGACACTTGTACCTGTAGTACGATTGCATATCTTTTCTTGCAGGATGTCACGCAGGAACGCATGGGATTAACTGTACAGCAGATTGTGGGCGTGGGGATTTCAAAGCCCGTGACGCAAACAGTGGTGAGATGATGCAATATAATCATGCGCAATGAAATGATTCTATCTGGCCAACATGGCTTAATTGATGAAATTACAACAGAACATTCAGATTAGTTCTGAATAGCAAAGCATGCACGATGTATCTTCAGGTTTCTAACTGACGTGCATGTAGTTTCTATGAGCATGCTTGGGTTCACATTTGTCTGTTTTCTGACCCTACAGAGCTGGGATCCAACTGGGGAATCCCAGTGGCAGCTATCCTTGGTGTGTTGCTGATCTGCACTGTGACTGGGGAACAATATACATCAGACGGTTGTGTATTTTGCCTCTTTCCTAAAAACTCACGTTTTCGAACTTTAACGAAATGTTCTTTTATTCTTCATCCGTATATTTTGTCTCTTTCGTACAAATACTCACATATTTTCAAACTTTAACGAAAGTTTCTTTTTTATTCTTCATCCGTATATTTTGTCTCTTTCCTAAAAATACTCACATGTTTTCGAACTTTAACGAAATGTTCTTCTATTCTTCATCCGTATATTTTGTCTCTTTCGTACATATACTCACATATTTTCAAACTTTAACGAAGGTTCTTTTATTCTTCATCCGTTATGGAGTCTGTGGATGTAAATAGTAAACATACTGTTCTGTTTCACATCGTGTGTGTGCAAATAGTACATTAACGGAAACGTAATTACCCTGATTTCTTATGTTTTATGGTTTTATTGTTTTACTTAAATCTTAATTGACCAATACGGTTAACGTCAGGTATGTTGATGATCTAATATGGTTCAATACCATCAAATAGCCGATTCGTTCACCCACTCAGTACGGTACATACGATTTACCACAGTCTTTTAAATGGGTTTTAACTGTGATATGTTACAAAATAACAAAAACAATTTTCACGTCAGATTACTTAAACAACTTGAGAGCCTGAAGACCAAGGTGAGAGAGGAACACTATATGACACTTGATGAGAGGACAACAGCAACAGATAGTGCATATGAACCTATCGGCAATGTAATGCCCTACTACAACACAGTCGACCATCTTCAGGATGAAACTGGATGAGAAGACAAATGTTTCGGCAGCAGAAAATACAGACGAACATGCTACGTAGATAACAATAATGTCTATCACATAACACATACTTGTCATTTAGGAACAGGTTGCGTACAGGCAGAACGTTCATGGACTTGATCAAAATGACAATATAATGTTGACTTTGTATACTGTTTGTGGTTACAGGTATAACAGATGATCACATGTTTCAGATTACAAATGAAGGGTCTCGAATGCAATAAGAAACTCTATCGAGTTTGTTCATACAAAACACCGTAGTGAAGTCAAGTTTTGCTCAACCATGTGTGTTTATTACAGCATCAAATAATGTTCACACAGTTCGGGTAGAAACGTGTGATACGACTTGCCGCACATGTGATAATCACTATTTGTCCTCTGTTTGCACGGCACATCTTTTTGGTGCGTGGTTGGCGTGCTGTCTAAGACGCCAGGCTAGTGGTCCAGTGTGCATGAGGTGCCGGGATCGAGCCCACCTGTGGCCGGTGTAAAACAGGAGTCAGCTTTGTGTGCAGACTCTTTCAGTGTTGTCACAAACCCTAGTGTACAGTACACAACCCTGTGCACTTAAAATAACCCACGAATCCGTTGGTAAATGACCAGATGGTGGTCCATATGAATACGTGCAAACACCTGGTTGCGGATACAAAACGTACAGTAAACTTGGACAAAGTACTGTTACTATGTGCCCTATGTGTCCACCTAGCTGTCAATGGGTACCTCGTAAGGATGGGAAAGCCGCGATAACTTGGAGCACCTTGTGGCTGCAAGACTTATATGATCCCAGGGAGTTGAGATTGATAATACGATGTGCCGTCCAATGATCGAGGGGAATTCCAGCGCCTTGAGCATGTACTAGCTGCGTGGATATGTGCGCTAACTTAATATTCAATCCTATCCTCTACTGTTTTTCTGTCAACATCATTTTTTGCTGAGTGGCACAGTTTTTATGCTTAGTTCACCGAACCTCACTCGACTAAACTTACTCAAACTGATAACACAGTTCATCACACATCCCTCCATACATTGTTGCCGGATATGAGAAAGATGGACTTAACTTAACAATCATGTCTGCTTCTCTCATATCTGAAATCGATTTGCCAGCAAATCACACAAAATACCAGTGAAGTATGGAGAAACAATAGTCACAGATAATTGGTAAATAGTTTCTAAACTGACACTGGAAATAATTTGACCATTTATTCATATACCTGGTATGTCAGATGTACATATGTTTGATTTAAATAGCCCTATTTCTTTTTTGAAAATTATGTCTTATAGTCACGATAAAACGAACGTTTAGATACAGTGTATTAGATCATAGTACTGATTCCTGACGCTAGCAACATTCTTAACCTCGATATTTAGAACATATTGAGCACTGTTAATGTGATGTTTAGAATAGACATTATTCGGTTAATAAATGATGTGGCAAGAGGTTTGAAGTTGAAGAAACGTAAAATATGGTATTCTAATCAGCATGTTTCATACCAAGCTTTTCATAACTCAAGTTGGAGAGAAAATTTGTCATAAATATTCAAAATAGGTTTGCTAACCGCATCATTCTATTTCATTGTTTCAATGAGTTCAGTATAACTTGCGTTTAAACGAATCGTTTGTATGTATATTTTTGTAATGTAAACATTTGTGACACACTTTCATACTGATGATTGACCATGGCTGCCGTTTTCTTTTGGAGAGTGAGTGAGTTTAGTTTTACGCCGCAATAAGCAATATTCCCGCTATATGGCGGCGGTCTGTAAACAATCGAGTCTGGACCAGACAATCCAGTGATCAACAGCATGAGCATCGATCTGCGCAATTGGGAACCGATGGCATGTGTCAACCAAGTCAGCGAGCCTGACCAACCGATCCCGTTAGTCGCCTTTTACGACAAGCATAGTCGCCTTTTATGACAAGAATGGGTTGCTGAAGACTTATTCGACTCCGGATCTTCACGGGTCTTTTCTTTTGGAACCATGATTAACTCATAATGAGTTTAATGAAGGATTAAACAAGTCAACTTTCTTTCCGCACTTGCGGAATCATCACATGGTCATTGCATCTTGTGTTTCAGTTGAATATCAGACTCAAGAAATTTGGCATTATAAGCAGGGAACTGGACCTATTTGTATAGGAGTGAGTCAATTTAACGTCACCTCGACAATATTTCACCTATATAGTGACGAGAAAGTTTGTACATACAAAATAAATACAAGTAGTTAAATAACCAGTCATCGACGGACTGTTTAAAATAATAAGAGTATCACAGAAATTCGTATTGGAAATGTTATCACTAGTTTGGCTTATATAGACTGTAAACTGGATAAGGCATACCACACAAAGCATCATTCCTGATCAAACCGTTTTTGATGGCGACTAAACTGAACATTATGGATTGATAGTCCAGCAACAAACCTGAGAGAACATGATCGGTCTGTGCTCGTAAGACCAGGAAACCGTTTGATTTTACACTTTTCACTTGCAGAATCACGTGTATGTGAGTGCGTGCATGTGTTTTCAGCATGTGTGTGTGTGCATAGCGGACTTCCTGTGACCATCGTGTTGTAACTTTCAATCGTGCGTCATTTTAAACAAATAACTAAAATTTCTACAAGTAACAAGAGCATGAACGTGTCATAGTGTCATCCTATGTGCATATTCTTATAGGAAATTTTATCACTAGTTTGGCATTATACAGACTGTACACTGCACAAGGCATACCACACAAAGCATCATTCCTGATCAAACCCTTTTTGATAGCGATTAAATTGAACATTATGGGTTGACAGTCCAGCAATGACCTTGAAAACCTGTCAGATATATACAGCTACTTGTGAGACCAATCGGTATAACATAGACGCTCCTCATATTCGCGATATGGCTGAAATACTGCCTCTGTGACTTTCTGTTTTAACGTATTCCTTTCAGGTGATACGTAATGCCTAACTAACATCTGACTCTATAAGGGACGAAACCTTCATCACGTTATAGAGAGTAGTCGACATCAGTGATAACAAATAACTAGTCAGAATCACACCATTTCCCACTGTTTAATCGTAAAGGAACAAGTGCTTTAGGAAGTTGTGCACTGCGTTTTTATAACTGGATCACTTTCTCATAGGCACAGGCTCGCGATATAGCCGAATGTTTATAACATGTTTTCGTGTGGACATAATAAGGATTCTTATAACACAAAGCCCTCACATGGTCACTGTGTTATCATTGAAACAGTATTACATTATTTTAGAAGCTTAAACGAAAACCAACAGGAACTCGAGATTTAGATATTTGGTATTGATATAGCAACGGCAAATTGATGAAAATATTGAGGAATGCTTCATTTAGTTTTATTCAATGTAAGTCAAACACCGTTATGTCGAATACGAGGGAACTTACGTGTATACTTCTAGTTGTCCAAAGTTCGACACAAACGTGAAATGATGACTACAGAAGGAACACGCAGAGACACAGATATTACTTCGAGAGAACCGTTCGTTCGACACAGGCGTGTTTGCATATGCCTTTCATATCAGACATTTTTTCATCAACAATCCTTTGAAAAGAACTTTCCGTGATGTCCGGTTTTTTTATTGGTTAGACGTCGGCGGATTCAATACAAAGCTTGTTTACCTACGAAACCAGTTTGGGGAGATGTAGGTAAACTCTCCGTATCAGCATGTAAATTGTGTTAGTATCAATGGTAATATTTTTATATTGATTTATTGTCACCGTGCTCGCAATGTACATCTAGTCAGATAATATTATCAGGGAAGTGTGTTTGCCTACATCACACGTGAGCAGAAAGAGAAGCTGAGAAAAAGAAGGCTGTGATATCCAATATTTGTTCATCAAACACCCGAGCCTTTCAGGATTTACAATTTCAATTTCAATGTATGTTAAGCTGCACCACCTTCAATGCATACAAGACAACCCGTTGTGTCTATCATGTGACCTCATCTGTCATACGTTTTATTCTCTTCCTGGTTGCTGTACACTTAGATCGTGCTCGATGCGGGATGGCCGTGTGTGCAGTGAGTACTTTAATCATTAAATTAACTTTGACCGAATGACTATGTTATGATTGACGACTTCTCAATTTTTATCCATGGCGCACTAAATTTTCTAATAGCAATTACTCTCAGATTCAGGTTCATATTGCTTGATGATAATCATGTTTATATCATCGTTAACTATGTGTTTGTATCGTCGTTAAATACACTCTCTCAAAAAAGAAACGCAACCCCTGTTTTTTTTGGTAATGTTTATATCAATTTTAACTGGTTATTTCATTTGTATTTTTAAAGATAATGCCATGAAATTTGACATGGTGAACCTTAGGTCAGCACGGTATAAGGTAACAGTTAATGCAGGTCAGTATCGAACTCTCAATTTACGCTAGGGGGCGTTGTCTTCAGTATCTCGTTGTAGAGCCACGAGCTCTAATCACAGCAGTGCACCTCCTCGGAACAGAACGAATCAGACGGCGGATGTTTTCCTGGGGATTGCTCTCCACTCTTCCTGGAGTGCTGCGGCCAGTTCAACCAACGTGTGCGGTTGTGGTGTACGTGCACGAACACGACGATCCAGCTGGTCCCACAGATGTTCGATAGGATTGATGTCTGGCGATCTGGAGGGCCACGGCATCACGTTGACGTTTGAATTCTGTAGGAATGCCACTGTTGCACGAGCTGTATGAGGGCGGGCATTGTCATGTTGAAACAACTCCCTCTGTTGGTCGATTATCGGCAGAAAATGTGGCTGTAAGACGTCATCAATGTACCGTTTGTGCCGTCAAATTGCCACGAATGATGACCTCAAGTCTGACCGTTAGGTTGTAAGACATGGCTCCCCATACCATGATGCTTCCTCCTCCAAATCTGTCGACCTGTCGAACGCAGTTCGGTGCAAAACGTTCATTTGCTCGTCTATAGACACGTTGTCTACCGTCACGTCGTTGAAGAAGAAACGAGACTCGT